GAATGCATTACGTAATTTCGCACCGGATCTCTGGCAATATTAGATGTATACGCGCATATGCATTTTTTTACTGTACAGCCGTCCACATTCTACTCCAACGACATCCCTGCATACGATTCGCCTCACCACACTACATCATTCAATGGCCAATTGTATGAAGATATTCCTCAGACGGCCGAGGACGCCCCGGAATTTCAGGAGACATAACGGCAGCAAATCTGGTAAGCTATTTGCTAGGGCTTGGGCAACTCTATCTTCCAAGCAAGAAACCTGAAATGCCTTCTTTTCTATTCAGGTAGCATATGCCTCAGCAACCAATCAGCCTGCAAGCCACATTTTATTATGTTAGGGTTCAGAGCTAATGAGACTTTTTGGAAAGTTTAATGGCAAGCATTGCAGTGTACAAACTTACTTGGCAAATGTTTTGAGAAAGGTATCTTGTCGTGTACTTCAATAATCAAAACTAATCAATATAGCTTTTCGGCTGTTTCCTTTTCATGTATATAATCTTCTCCTTCTTTTACCATGGTTGGCTATCACCCACATCTTCCCGTTTTGGCTGCCATAGGATGTTGAATAAATAAATAAATAAATCTGATAATACTCATAAAAGGACACACTTCAGGCTCATTACAAACATCTTGAAAGTTTTTGTCTTAACAAGTATACTTTCAAGCCTTCTTGTCAGGTGAAATACAGGCAAGGGAAGAGGAACAGGAACAGTACAGTAAAAGAAGAAGATAGCTAAAGTAAACAGCGAAAATTGCAATAATGACACAAAGGTTATACACATAACAAACGTAAGTTTAAATCTGGGAGTGGGGAATGGATATACTGTGTTTCATTTGTTTCCTCCTTTCATCTTCGATTATTGAGTCGAGTGCTCATTGGCGCAGTTTCAACTGCCCAGTTTCAGTGGTGTAACGTTAGTTACAAAAATGCAACGAGTGTGTTGTAAAACAGAGAGGTTCCAGGCTGTCCAATAAAGTGATCTATACCGAAAGGTAGAGCTAGTTCAAACAATAGTAGCAGGATGAAAGAAGTGTGTTTACTCCGAGCTTCATGTAGTAAGCGGTAATCAAACATTGAGGGATGTGTATCAGATGCAGACTGCTATGATGCACATCTGAACATGTGATTTACAAAGAAGAGCTCAGGGAGTGACTTAAAAGTTTAATACATCAGTATTCTATTGGACACGATCAGAGAAAGAGTTGAGAGAGAGAGGCTGTAATGGGGTGGGTGCTGATCTATCAGGCACACGCTAAATTGTGCATGCTACGTTCCAATGGTACGTACACTGAGATAAAGATGTTGTTCTCTGCTTTTGCTCGTTTCTACATTTCTACAGGAGCCTTGCTTAACAGAAACCCTGCAGCCTTGCTGGTCGGATTGTCCGCGCTTGACGTGGAACTACTGTACATGAAGTAACAAAACTGCAGCTGAAACATTCCTTCATCTTTCAGCCATTCTGCTGTCCAAAAAATAGCGGCATTTTGTTGTTGCTCTGGATACAGCAAGATGCGCACCAACAACTATGGCTATGCCATTACCTTAACATGCTTTTTTCTTTTCTCTGTATGCGCAGCCTCCGCTATAACCATCCTTTATAACCACACATCCTCCCAACATTCTCCAAGCGGTCTCTAGGCTACACCAACCGCTTCTGCTTATTTCTAGATAGAGCCGAGTGCCAGCAGCAGCTTTAGGCACACGTGTTTACGCCTGAGCGCTGCCGGAGCCCACTCATGCTTTGCCTGCATGTTTGTTGATTTTTTGGATCAGAATTGGATAGTTTCAATCACGAATAATCATGTAGCTCGTCCGTTACAAGCACATATCATTGCTGTGCCATCAAATCACTCTATCTGTCCTTGTACTAATGGCTGCTCCACTCAATGCACAACTCCGTTTGCTCCTTTGCACCATGAACATGCATTGTGAGAGGTGTAGCACATATGACATTGGCTGCTAGATGATATTGGATATGTTGTTGTGGATGGGAACATGTATTCAGACATCACCCACGTACAGTGCTGATAGAACAGAAAAAGGACCAAGGAACTACAAGTTACGCTATGAATTTATGGTCTGTAGTGAAGTAACATGATTGGGAATCTTGTGGCGTAAATTCCAGACTGATACAGCAACACATGCATAGTAATCCTAAGTCACTCACGTTTTGTCATAAACAGTGTATTGGGCGCAAAATAAATAGAATTTGGAACACTGTTACGTGTACAGCAATGAGTTCGCACAGAACAAAGCAGCAAGCTGTCCGCTGATTTGGTACAGTACTACAGTACACTCAAATGTTTCAAAATTATAACAAACCGGAATGGCGTCGCGATCACTTCTTTTTTTAATAAACAGGCGCAGAGGGCAGCAGACCTCGGAGTCGCCAGCCCGCAGGCCCAGCTCCAGCGACCAGACTCAGACATGCCCATCGCGAAAGCAATGATAGCGAACAGCTATGTTAGACAGAGCAACTTGTCCTGGGATTACACCATTCAACAGCTTGCAAGACTGATGAATTGACCGCCACAAATTTTAGCCTGGTATCCACCACACAGCTGATTAGGCCATGGTAAAAAATATCTTTGATTCTCAAGTACGCGCGCATCGATTTTTGGTGGCGCACCGACGATTTTTTTTATTTCTATACATGCATATGCGTGCATGAAAACCAACGCGAAAGGCATGAATCCGGGAGTAGTAAAATACCGGTATTTTTCTACTCCCTGGCCTGAATAATGAAAATAATTATAAATTAATTATGAACCTGTGAAGTACACATGTGTGACCCTATCTTTGGAAATATAAAAATTGTGGGAATTAAAATAAAAAATCGCTCGCTCGCACCGATTTTCACAGGCTCATGACCTGAGAATCAACTTTATTTTTTACCATGGCCTTGAAGTGAATTTTTTTCTGGCCAGTGAATCAGTATTTTTAAGTTTTCCATTTTATATTAATTTTTATTTCATTCTTTTTTTGCGACCAGCTCTAGGGCCTAGGGCAAGTACTACAGGATTGTACTACAAGGGGCCGGTCACATTGAGGGTACAATCCTCAGATTATAAACCGGGAATAATAATTTATTTTGTCTGCTTTTCATTATTACGGCCACACTGCATACGCACAATGAAAAAAATCTCACTCACGTCAGCAATTTTTTGTCACCACTCGCTTAAAGGGGCCGTCCGTAAATATCGAACTTGTTTCACCAAACGAATTATTTTAGTTTAGACCCAACCCCTCCCTCCCTCCCCCTCAGAATGTAAAAAAATGTTGACATACATGCATATACAACGGTCATGTATATGAATCAATGTTTTCTGAAACGAAATTGGTCAACACCCTCCCACCCGGTACCCCATAACGAAATTATTTCGTTTTGTGAAAAAAGTTCGATATTAATTTTTATGGACGACCCCTTATTTGACAGTCCAGATTACACCAATCACTTTGAACTCCAGGGAGGTCAAGAAAATTTTGAAAGTATTTGGCGGATTGCCTTTCTCTAAAGTCATACAAGGCCGGAAGGGCATTGAAAAATCTGATAATAATTGTGCACTCAAACTGAGAGGAAAAAAAGGCCAAGCACCAGCATTCGACTTTACAGATTAACATCAACCATCATACCACAACTGCGCTCTCCAGCCGACTTCGACACTTTGCCACAGTATGGCAACAGCAAAGCAACATATCCGTTGCGTTGGTACGGAGTTCCTCCATAGTTCGTAGACAGTGAAACCTGGCTAACACGACCGCTCAAGGGACCTTCAAAATGTGGTCTCTGTCACTAGGTGGTCGCCTTATCCAGGGTCAATTGACTAGAAATAGCACCCCTTGGTCCTGGTTGCAGTGGTCTTCTAGAACAGGTGGTCGCCTTATCCGAGTGGTCGCCTTGACAGGTTTTACTGTAGCTCTTTCGAGTTTAAAACTCTTTATGGAAGTTAAGTACTGTGGAAGGGCTAAGATAGACTTCAATACCAACATTATAAAGAAGCCTCTCGTACGGGGAAATAAAACAATGATTGAATGAATGCAATGTTCACAGGTATAATGACCAACTCGTACCAACGGATGTGTTGCTTTTCTGATGGTGTGCTGTGGCAAAGTGTCGAGGTTGGCTGGAGAGTGCAGCTATTGCGTAGTGGTTGATGACAACCTGAAAGAGACTAGGATGAATTACACCTGTTTTTCGTGATTCCGAGTGTCCAGTACATGTACAGAAAGTCAACAGACAGCAAATGTGAGGATCCATACGTGCGGTAAGATGATGTTCGCGAAGTCCAGAGCTAAAACTGCACCGGTATTTTATGAGTGACTTGTGTCACTGACGAATTCACGAGCCTGATTTGTGATTCGTTTACAACAGGGCTCCATGTACATATACCATTCACCGCTTGCCATTCAGCCAAACTCAAAGACTTCGAATTCAATTCTAAAGGGCCAAAGCGACTAGTAATGACTGATTTGATGGTACACTTGGATTTGGGTGGACGACTTGGGACAGGAACAAGTGGGGGCTAGTCAAGAAATATCTGTTCAAGTAGTGAATGTAAGTAGCGCAGACACAGGGTTTTGTGCGTGTGAGGCAAGGATAGCATTCTGAACAGCAGTAGATCGCCAGAATGTGCACAGTTTACGAGTGAGGAGAAGAACTAGCAGTAGCAATTCATTGCGGGGATGTTACGTACAAGTACAGTGGTGGCAACTGAAATCCGACCCCCCTGAGCGGCGCGCTCACATCGCAAAGAATGTGAACCCACCGCTCAGGTGTCGGATTTCAGTTGCCAGCACTGTAGTACATACTGACTGCATACAGTGGCACTTAGCATCGGGTTGCTCGGTCAGGACTTGTGCATGGACAGTCTACTAGTACTACTACAGTACTACTAGTAGTCACAGACGATCAGTAGATCTACAGCGTGCATAAAGCATCAGGTCCGTCGGTCAGAACGGTAGCACAGACAGTCTGTGTATCTTGCATACAGCATGAGGTCGGTCAGTCAGGACTGTTGCAATATACGGCTGGGTTCAGTCGTCGAGTCCAGAAAGGGTCTCTTCATACGCTGTCGCTAGCCGTGTAGATTTACCATGAACAAACCTCGAGGAAATGCAAAGAGGCCACATCAATCATCATGTTGAGTTGACGCACTTCGCTTTGGCGACGACTGCCACGAGCAACTGTATTCACACTGCGGAACGGAAAGCCGGAACTCAATTTTTAAAACTGCACATTGTCTGACAATTTCTCGAGATCTGTTCTTGGTGGTCTACTATCAACACTGAGATAAACTCGAGGAGCTGCCGCTAAAGGCGTACCTTATGTAGCCTTTTCGAATCTTTCCAAGAAATACATGTAGCATAGTACCAGGGTCGGCTACAGCAGTCGAAAGATAGGTAGAGTCTACGCTTCCTGAACACTAAAAGCGGAGTCGATCTGCCTTTGCTGCCTTTGCTGCCAATGCTGGGTGCCGCGAGATGGAACGGGACACATACATGTACCTGAGGCTAACAGCCATGGTTGTCCTGTGCGTCGCCACGCTCCCGCACGACAGTCACTGCCAGGACGAGCCGGAACTGAAGCTGCCCGATCCTTTCGATGCTGACAGTGGGCAGGAAGAAGAAGAGCATGGAGCTTCGACCCATGACGATGATGGATTGACTACGTCAAATGTCACTAAAAATGGTGAGAAAGGAACGTTCGATGTTAGATTATGGTTTGCACTATGTAGTTGTGTGTCCTTTGTCGGAATATCTGGGCTCTAGCCAGGGAGTAGTATGGTGACCTCCCGCGACAGCGCGTCCATGATAGCGCGGTGCACTTCAGCGCGACCGCCTTAGCGCGAGGCATTTCAGCTCGGTGCCATTTCAGCGCCGTGTCTTGACAGCGCCAATGATTTCAGCGCGAAATTTTTTTCACCGTTGTACTAAAGAACAAATGAAGTCTGAAGAAAATGTTGAATGGTCTCTGCTGGGATCACGACTACACCATCGCTCAGTGGTTAGAGCATCGCTGGCTACAAGCGAGGGTCCCTGGTTCGAGTCCTGGTGGCGACAGTCAATTTTCTCCAGACCTTTCCCGATTGTGTCTTTCCCTCAAACCAGTGAAGTCAAAAGCAAATGAATTAATAACTATGGCAATCAAGGTAGGGTAAGGAGGACACAATGACAGCGCTATGAAGGTGTTGTTTTTCATTTGTTTGCACTTTCTCACGTCCGGTGGCAAGGTGTTCATACAGTATGGTGTAGCCTAGATCGAAGTCACCTGTCTACTTGACTGTCCCTCCAGGAAATCGCGATTCCACGGATGCAACAAATTTCGCGATTTTCGCCCAAACCCGCCATTTTTTTCCGGAAAATCCGCGATTTCCCACGTTTTTTGTTGTTTTCTGCACTATATCTCACTTTTCTATGCACCTTTCACGCAGTGCTTTCCATGATCCTGTAAGTTATTTGCACAGTACGACTCGACTACTCCCAACTAGATATACGATGCAACATATTTCGTGATTTGGCCCAAATCCGCAATTTTCTGTAAATAATTCCGCGAATTCCTGGTAAGTTCTGCATCATTCCGCACTTTTCGTCGCATTTTTTGTTGTTTTCTGCTGCAATTTCTTGCGCAAGTTTTCGAGAGTTTTTTCCGCAAATTCCCGCAGGGACAGACTTGAACTACATGTCCATTTTCTCCGACTGTCAGCCAGAAATACGCTCTGCGGCCTATACGCTGGGTATTGATTTCAGTTTAGGCAGATCTTGGGTTTGACCTACTGATCATTCCTTGATTCTAACAGGTGCATTCTCCAACCTTGCTGGGACACGCAGGCGACTCGGAACTCTTAGCCTGGTCCAAGATCCCAGTGGATGTAACAAATGGGATCTGTGGTGTTTGACCACTTTGGTTGCGGGTCTGATCTATTCGCCTCACACCGATTCAGGAGTAGGCTTTCCCCAAATCGGCCAGGTGAAACATTCGCCGAAAACGAGACTGATCGAAAAATAGCTAAGCTTTTCGCCAATTTTGGAGGGTTCCTTTGAGACACGCCGGAAATCTACCAAATGTTGTTACAAAGTGCGTTTAGGAACGAATGATGTTGCTGCAAGCATGACCGCTCGTAGTACTAGTGCGTTGAGGTCATGTGACTCGTGCCCTTTGACCTTCTCTCAAACAAACATTGGCCATTAGGAAGATCGTTACTGGTAAAATACTAAACTACAGCGTACTGTTTTGGCAAGTTCCATCTAGCAGAGCTGTATTCCATTATCCCACCAATGTTGAAGCCAATATGCCAAAAATTCTTTAGTCGATTTTCCAATAATATTGGAAAATCGGCTAAAAGAATTTATAATTTTTTCAATTTTGCAGCCGATTTTCGAACAATCACCTGATTTTGCAGCCGAATCTGATGTATTTTTGAGCTATGCAAAAAGTCGAATAGGCGAAAAAACCGGGCCGATTTGGATAAAGCCTATTCAGGAGCTGCTTCTCTGTCTTGTTCCGTGAGGGTGGTGGTGTTTCCACACTTGCAGAAAAAACAGTCTGAGCAACTCTGACGTAAAATGGGGAAATCCCGTAGTGTAAACATGTGGAATTCTTCTTTTTGCAACAGTAGAAGCTTTGTTGGTCAGAAATGTTGTCGCTCCGGGTGCAATACCAGTGTGTGTCGTTTTCTGCTTGACATTCTGACAGGTACTACCAGTACCTGTGCCTCGAGCCCGTGTCAGAATGGTGGGACATGCAGTACTGGTATGGACGGGTTGTCGACATGCGACTGCACCTCTAACTATATCGGAAAGTTTTGCCAAAGTAAGTACCCACTCGGATTATTCCTTGCTGCTGAATTTGTTCGTCAGAAACTCACCCACCCAGATGTTTCCTTGCCCCTGAATTGTTCATTCCGTAACGTACATTTGCCCGACCAGATTATTCCTTGCGTCTGAATTGTTTATTCAGCAACTGCACTTCAATTTGTTCTTGTATTAATTTCGTACAAAATATAAAAGCCCCTGGTGTATTGTATTACATATTGTCATAGTTACCTAGGCTCAGTTCTACCAAAATGTTCCCAGAAAGTAGACTATGGAATGCACTGAAAGTGTCTGGTGACAAATGCGCGGCGGTTACACCATATTTGCAGTGTCACGCAATGAGCTAAGCTAACAAAGCTCATTCAATTCGGCAAGAGCTGATAAATAGTTTTAATTGTTGGAATAGTCGAGTTTTGTTCTGTATGATCAGGGCATGTGTTGCATGGGTCACTGGAACGCTTTCCTGCGATGGATGTGTTTAGCCTGAGATGAACCAGTATACCATGGTTCCAGGTCCGATTTGTCAAGCGTGTTCCTGCATGCGTGCTTGTGTGTGTGTGTACGCATGACTGCGCATGCGTGCTTGTGTGTGTGTGTGTGTGTGTGTGTGTGTGTGTCAACATGGCTGATAGAGCCGATATGAACGTCAACGGTGATACTGTGGAGCACGTTCCATCCTTCATTTATCTGGGGTCCGTCGTGACACCGGATGCCCGCTCCTCTACTGACGTCAGTCGCCGCATAGCTGAGGCTTCCAAAGCCTTTGGAGCTCTTCTTCCAGTCTTGTCGGATCGCTCGCTGTCATTAGTCAGTAAGCGAAAGCTATACGTGGCCTGTGTCTTGTCCATTTTGCTGTACGGCAGTGAGTGCTGGACGCCCTTGAAAGCTGATAGTAGACGTTTGGATGCCTTTCATCATCGCTGCATCCGCACAATATTAGCCATCCCTCGCAGTCAGCAGCAATCCGATCGCATCACGTCTGCGCAGTTACGTCGTCACTGGGGTGACCCAGTGCCACTCTCTGTTAAGATGCGCCATCGTCGTTTAGAGTGGCTTGGTCATGTGGCTCGGATGTCGGAGGACCGTGTCCCATTGCAGCTGTTGTTTGGTCGTTTGTTGGCTGCGCGCCCCTTCTGCGGTCCCAGGCGTAGGTGGAGAGACGTTGTGGCTACTGACACGAAGTCCATTCCAAACTGGTTTGATTGCGCACAAGACCGGTCAGCTTGGCGAGAGCAGGTTCTGGTTTTTCAGCCTCCTCGGGCAATAGAGAAATCCGTACTCTGCTCATCTTGCAACCGGGCTTTCTCTCGTCCTCAAGACAAGGCACGGCACAAGTGTTTGGCTGAGCGCCAACTTCCCGTCCACCAACAGCGTGGTTCAGCACAGTGCGTCAGTTGCTGCCGATGGTTCCGTAGTAAGGGTGGGCTTGCAGTTCATCGCTGCCAGCCTGCACTCCCTGAACATGCAGATACGGCATTGACGGCGTCTCTCGCTAGTTGCTGCTTCCAGCATTGTCAACGCTGCAATCGCTGCTTCAAGTCCCGGGCTGGTTTTAACCGCCATAACTGCAACCGTGGAAAACGTCTTGCTGCAGCCGATAGGGAATCACTGCCGCTGATCTGCATGCATTGCCCGAAACGTTTCCGACGACAGCAAGATTTGACGAGGCACCAGAAGTCCTGCCAATGACGGTGCACTCCAAACTCTGGCCCCCTCCGGGGGTGACATTGCCCAATGGGCAGTCATGCTATAGTAGTAGTAGTAGTGTGTGTGTGTGTGTGTGTGTGTGTGTGTGTGTGTGCATGTGTGTGAAAATCTTTCGAAATCGTCACAAAGAATGATATCCCTGCTCTTATTCTTTGGTGTTCTATGCTACCTTGTCACCCACAGACATAAACAAATGTGTCGTGCCTCACGCCAGATGTACCAGCTTGGGACCGCACAGCATGTGCACGAATGAGCGAAACAACCAAACGGGCGAGGAATTCACTTGCGGATGTTTGCCAGGTTACAGTACGTCTGACGACAGCGCCACCGTATCCGGACATGCCGCTTCAGAATACTGTGAGAATGTGAACGAATGTCACGAAACGGGATCCCTAGCGGCACGGTGCGATGCGAATGCAGTGTGTCTTGACACTCCGGGTGCATACAGCTGCGTGTGTAAGAGCGGATTCAGTGGAGACGGCATCGTGTGCTCAGATATGGATGAGTGTGAAAGGCACCCTCCGTACTGTGGTCCCTACGCTACATGCCAGAACACTGAGGGCAGCTACGTGTGCCATTGTTCGGCCGGGGCTGAAATGCAGGATGGCGACTGCGGAGATCGGAACGAATGCGCCGGCAGACACCGTGGCCACTTCTGCGACATCCATGCCCGGTGTGTGGATCTGGTATTGAGCTACAGGTGCGACGGCTGCTTGCCGGGATTCAGCGGAAACGGGAGTGCTGGTTTCTGCCAGAAGATCGCGGAATGTGCTACGGAGGAGCTGGCTGACTGCACCGTGGCACAGGGCGGACTGTGCTTCGACACTGAGGGCAGTCACGGATGCCACTGTCTGCCTGGTTTCCAGAATGACGGCCCTAACCGATGCGTGGACGAGGACGAATGTGAACAAACGTATCCGTCGGCGTGTTCCTTGCAGGAACAGTGCGTCAACACGATCGGGACTTTCCAATGCGAATGCAAACCTGGATATACCGGGGCAAGGTGCAACCGGGCGTGCCCAATCGGGTACATAATGACGGCTAATGACACGTGTGCGGACAGAGACGAATGTGAACTGGGGAAGCCGTGCGGTTCCCATGCAACATGCCTGAACACCAGAGGAAGTTACGTATGCCAGTGCGCTCCAGGAACACATGGTTATTCCAGATATGGCTGCAGCGACATTGACGAATGTAGCCCATGGAATCGTGGCAGATACTGCGATACACACAGCCAATGTGCAAACACTTCTCCAGGTTATCGGTGCACCTGTGCGTTCAAATACACCGGAGACGGTTCTCCGGGCAACTGCCACAGTGAGTGCTTGGAAAGCGTGCAAGATTGCTCAACGGCGGACAACAATACCTGCGTCAACAATCCGCACGTCGGCATAACAACGTGCCGGGCACTGAATGCCTGCGAGAGCTACTGCAACGCCAGCGGGTTTCATGCGTGCCGAAACATTTTCAGCCCAGACAGGTTCTATTGCGCTTGCCGGCCCGGATACTGGAGACCAGATGATGTGTGTATTGATATTGACGAGTGTGTACACTATCATAAGCAGTGCCATGGCCATTCTCACTGTGTGAACACCATCGGCAGCTTTGAGTGTGCGTGTAATGAAGGATACCAGCAATTGCCATGGTCCAGTAGCATTGCCTGTACGGATACAAATGAATGCAATGATCCGGAGTGGAACGATTGCACCAACCCAGGCCAGGGTTGTCACAACACGCCCGGCTCCTACTACTGCGCTTGCAGGTCTGGTTACCATAGAAACGTCACCACGGCGACATGTGACGACACAGACGAATGCGTGGAGTACGGGAAGTGTCGGCCGCTCGGCACGTGCCTCAATCACCCTGGTTACTATGAATGTGCGTGCCCGGACGGTACCGTTCCGCCGGATTGCACCGACCGTAATGAGTGCTCCAGGAGACATCGCGTCAATCGGATGTTCTGCGACGAGCACGCCAACTGCACTAATACGCCGCTGAGCTACGAGTGCCACGGCTGCCTCGCTGGATACACGGGTGACGGAACAGTGGGCAATTGCAGCGACATCGATGAATGTGTTCTCAGATCGGATCAGGGGCAGCTGCCTTGCAATGCATCGGGTCACGGTCGATGTAGCAACACGCAGGGAAGTTTTCGCTGCTATTGTGATCCGGGTTTCGAGCTGGACGGCGATCAGTGTGTAGATAAGAATGAATGCATATTCAATTGCTGGCGGCACGCTAACGGTAACTGTACGAACACATTCGGATCATATATTTGTGAGTGCCAGCCCGGCGCAGAACTGTCGAATTGGTTCCACCATAGCCACTGTTATTTTATTGACCAGTGCAGGGTTAATAATTCCGATGCGGTCAGCAACTGCTCGTCTCAGGGAAAGGTCTGCTGGGGAACTGGACTGAACAGCTACAAGTGTATCTGTAAGCTCGGGTACAAGCCCCACGGCTCTGGCTGTGTAGATATCAATGAATGTAGTGAGCAAGGAGTGTGCATGCCATATGGAACATGCATCAACACACCCGGTAGTTATAGGTGTGATTGTGTCGCGGGAACCCGGGAATTTCACTGGCGGGGAAGGTGCGAACAACGTGACGAATGCTCTAGCAGATTTGCCCCAGGAAAGTATTGTGATGTGCACGGTGTATGTGCTGACCATGAGCTGAGCTATCGGTGCAACGGCTGCCAGAGTGGCTTCACTGGGTCTGGATTGCCCGGCGATTGCTTTGATGTAGATGAATGTGCACTGGGATTTCACAACTGTGACTTTAATAACACCGGCACCTGTGTCAACACACTGGGTGCTCATCACTGCGCGTGCAAGACTGGTTTTGTACAAAGTCAAGACTACAGGCTGCTCAGCAGAACTTGCGTCGACTGGGACGAATGTCACGCTTACCGGTGCAGTGGCCTGGCAAGCTGCACCAATACGTACGGGTCGTTTCACTGCGGCAGCTGTCGTCATGGATACACGGGAGATGGACACATTTGCATGGACATTGACGAATGCCGGGACAGCGCGATGAATAACTGCAGCAGTGGCCATGGGGTCGGCGAGAATGTGATGTGCTTCAACATAGCGGGTGGCTTTGAGTGCGGATGTGCTAGCGGATACTGGCTGAATCCCAACAAAAGTTCCTGCGTTGATATTGATGAGTGCTCCGCGGAGATGGCGTGTGACCCGTATGGCTCTTGCACCAACACCATTGGCAGTTATAGGTGTGACTGCCTTGACGGGGCCGTCCAGTCCGGCTACCAATGTGTCGACCGGGACGAATGCGCGGAAGAAGCACGGTTTTGTGACGAGAAAGCCGCGTGTGTGAATTTCTTCCCCGGATACACGTGCGACGGTTGCTGGACAGGCCACAGCGGATCCGGGCGGCCGGGCAAGTGCCAGGAAATTGACTTCTGCGAAAGCCGGATCCCGGCATGCTCCACCGTGAACGGTCACTGTTTGAATTATCCCTACTACTCACGATCCGTTTGCCGCTGCAACGAAGGCTTCAGCTGGAACGGGACACTGTGCTTTGATCGTGATGAGTGTTTGCCATACTATGGCCATACTTTTCGGTGCCAGAATCATTCGACATGCCGTAATACCCCGGGATCGTACGAATGCATCTGCAGCGCCGGTTTTACGGGCAATGGAACTGTCTGTTCTGACATAGACGAGTGTGACAATGTTTTGGTGCTAGATGCTTGCCGTCGGAAAGGCCTGGATTGCGTCAACACAGTTGGGGCTTACCAATGCGGTTGCCGCACCGGCTTTAACCTGACGCACTCGCCACAGGAGGACGGGCATGTGAGATGTTCGGATATCGACGAATGCATTACGTACAGTGCCTGTCAGCCGCACGGGGCCTGCGTGAACACTGCAGGTTCATTTGTATGCCAGTGCCAGCCGGGTTTTCAGCTTGATGGCTACTCTTGCAGAGACCCGAACGAGTGCGTGAACGGCAGTCACGACTGCACTGGCAAGCGGGGAGTGTGTGTGAATATGCCCGGCTCATACGCGTGCCAGTGTCACCCGGTGTACCGGTCCACTGCTGACGGCAGTGACTGCGTGCTGCGCGATTGCCGCGTCGCCCGGTCTGCGTGCGGGCCGCACCGCGTATGCCAGATGCAGGAGAATGGAACGTATGCGTGTGATTGCGAGCAGGGGACACGCCGATCAGGTGACCTGTGCATTGATGTGGATGAATGTCGGCAGTCGCCATGCCGACAAAATGCATACTGCGTAAACACCAGTCCGGGTTATCACTGCCGGTGTGCTCATGGCTACCAAGGGTCATACAATACCCGCCAATACACAGACCGTCGCTTGCAATGTGTTGACACGAATGAGTGTACTATCTTGTACCCTGCCTGTTACTTCCCGAGAGTGACCTGCCGGAACCTTCCAGGAACGTACACTTGTGATTGCAGACCGGGGTATTCAAAATTGGGCGCAACATCATGCCAAGGTGAGCAATGCCATACATAAAAAAGCTTCCGTGGAGATAAGAACGTTATAAATAGAGCGAGCTGCGCACTCAGTACAAACACCATAAGCAAATCTTGGTAAACAATTTCACTGTTAACAGCAGAGTTTTCTGCATCCGTAGGAACGCCACCACTCTCTTGGATCAAGGCGCAGATGCAGGTCCTGAAGTGGTGGGAGGTGATTAGATCAGACCCACCACAAATTGGTCAAGAGCCGAAATCCCATTCACTGCATCCATGTTTCCCTCGTACCAGGCTTGTTGTGTTTGTACTGAATGCGCAGCTCGCTCTATTTATTGTGTTAATGCCATGAATGGATATCATTTTTGTGGGAATGGGTTTGCTCCCACACTGGAGCTCGTGCTATTCCGCCGACGACTTGACACTTGACTGACTCACGACTGCCATCCAGAGAACACGAGAAGTCCATCGAACCTTCGACTCGGCAAACCTGCAAGAAAGCACCCGGCACTCCCTGCTCAATACACAGTGTTTCGGAGAATTCACCCCTCATCAGTTGAGCTTGAGTAGGCTGAGGAAGATTGTGCCTGAAAAGCACCACTTATAATTTTAGTGCTGTTCAGGCACAAACATCACCAGGGATACAACTTACAGAGACACTCCGTTTCCAGCGCTTCCTCAGCCTACTCAAGCTCAACTGATGAGGGGTGACTTCCCCGAAACACTGTGTATTGAGCAGGAGTGGTGCTTTCTTGCAGTCAAAGTTCGATGGACTTCTCTGGATGGCAGTCGTGAGTCAGTCAAGTGTCAAGTCGGTTGCGGAATAGCGCGAGCTCCAGTGTGGGAGCAAACCCATTCCTAAACAAAATCATCGCCGAAGTCTCAACCTCTATTTCGTAATGTATATCATTATGAATCAAACACTTTTTAAAATATGGTGATCCATCTTAGCAGATTTTGACACTCTGTGGACTTACGAGTATGTGTGCTGAATTCAATCTGCTCCAGGCAAATTCAGATGAGTCATCAGATGCAAGGTTCACGTGACAAATCTAGCAAATACTGAATGCTATGTAGAGATTAAAATCTTCTGAAAATGTGTATTCATTTTTTTGCGTGGAGGATGCTATAGTGTGTATTCTGCATACTTAGACCTGGCAGTGCTGAGCCGTGTTCAGTCGACTATCCTCCCAAAGATGGGCAGTTTTCATAATAATATGGCCCAGTATCAGCGAGAATCGACCTTCTGGTGAAAATCATTTTTTTCAAAATAAATCATTTTCTGCAACGGCAAAAAACTCTTGCTTCGCGCTCTGCACATTCAAACAAAAAATTAGTTCATCGCAACAATGAATGCTTTTGATCGTCCCAGTAGCAGGAGAGTTCGCTCACGATGGCCAGCTAGCTGCCGTCCGGCTCCGCCAGAAGTTGTTGGATTTCCTAGGCAGGAATCGTCGCGTCTGATAGAGAACGACGACAGTTTCCAGAAGATGTTTTTGTCGATGCGCAATTCCTATTTAGCGACAATAATTTCAACTTGATTTAGGCGCTCCGCCAAAGGAGCTCTCTGCTGGCAAAAGTACTTTCTGACATCTGAAAATCCTTGTAGGGCCCTTCTGAACTTAGTACAGCTCCGCTCAGGAGAAATACTCAACGATGAGAAACTAGTGAGGCGACGGCAACAGAGGTAGACGAACTGAAACGCCCTGGATCAACTCGAGTCAGGACGAAAGGGCGCTGCCGCTAGTGACATGATCTGAATTTTCCCAGGCTCCCACACTGGAGTCCGGGGTGAACACCAAACCCCTTGCCTTGGACGGGGCAAGAGCTGAACATTGATTGATGAGCTACGAACTTGCGCTCAGTGCTGGAATCATGGCGCACTGACGCGCATGCAGCCAGTTCCCACAGAGCTCAAATTTAACAGAGGTGCCAGGCGCGTACGCAGGGTCACCTCTAGGGGGGTTTCCAACCGAATCCCAAACAATGAGTTTTCAGTTTTAACTAGTGTTGAAACGAGCGTATCTATAACAAACGAGCGATCAGTTCCACTAACGAGCAAGCTATCGAGCGATCTAACGAGTTTCATTGATGTGGCAAATATGATTATTTTTTTGAATATTTTTTTTTCTAAGTTCGATTTTTTTCAGCTGGTTCAAATCATCACCGCCGGCTTTTGGGTTTGCTGCTGCTTCACTTCGGACTGCTGTTTGGTGTCGAGATGTCTTTTCAGCGCCGTCGTGGATTAGCCTTTGTAACAATAGACCGTTTTGCAAAGATTGCAAGTAGCCCTGGTCTTCGCTGCATCGCGGAAGAAAACTTCCAAACGACTGAGCGTAACTTTCACTCGAATGGAGAGGTGACTGAAGCATATCCTGCAACAGGTCAGCAGATGCGGAACAGGACATCAGTAGAGTCCACCAAAGCTGCAACGACAACTGAAACAACTCAAGTGTCGTGCAGGCATACAGTCACCTGTAACTGCGAGTGATTTTCACTTTGCGCGGGACTGGACTCTCGATCGACCAGGGAGTCGTAAAATATTTTACGACTCCCCGGTCGACATGTATTGCCATGTGTACGGAGTACGGTGTACGGTGTTCGTTAGTGCAAACGAGCTGGCCGCACAAACGAGCCGAGTTTCTGGCGAGCGAGCTAACGAGTATCCGGTGAGATCGTTTCAACACTAGTTTTAACCCTTTCGAAAGACTAGTAATGAGCCCTAGGAAATTTTCAAAATTATGCATTTTTTCGTGTTGTTTGGATCATAACTTCTACTCACTCAATCTTCAGTACATGTATCTTGGGCTTCCTGGAAGTGTAAAGGTACCAGGGAGAGAATGAGGTCGACCATGATAGCCAGGACACAGTACAGTCATGTACATATCCACCCCTATCCAGTATAGGCTATAGAGTATAGTATAGGGGTAGAGTGCAGCGACGGTGCGAAAAATGCCCCAAACAGCCCCAAACGCGTCCTGCTCCAGCGATTTCGTTTTTCTTGATCGCAGAGTTTCGATTTTTTCGCCGTGTACTCTTGAAAATATCACAAGTGAAGCCCCTGCAAATTTGAACAAATCAGCGCGACGAAAATCTCAAATTCTCTGGCGATACTCAAGTCGCGCTGCACGCTTTTGAAATTGCCGAGATCGCGGCTTAACTTACGAATAATTTATCTCACGACACATTGCTCACAGCGCTTCGAAAAAATTTTCAACCAACAGCTGAGAGTTTTCTATTCGACCTAGATATTTGGATCGTTGGATTTGAGCGAGATTTGACTGAGTGACGATCTTTTGAAGTTTTGCATTCTTGCCAGATCGATCATGCGCCCTACCAAAAAATGCCCAAAAACGTTGCTCGTTTGGAACATTTGGGGGGTTTCCGGGCAACGGGAAACCCCCCTGCGTACGCGCCTGGGTGCAGCAGTGATGGACTACCTCTAAATCGTGTATGAGATGAAGTGTGGGGTGTTAGAATGTTGTGCCTGTGTCGTATTCCCTGTGGGATGCACAGACTGGGACTCCAGGTGTAGTTGTAGCCACCCTCCCTCCTGTTCTTCACTTCTGTGGATTTTCAACAGACTTGGGATGGCGTTCAAACAGTTTTCATTGGTATGCAGTGATGAGGATCAAGGCCATCCATGCTCTATGCCAGTGGTTGCCCAAGAGTTGTTTTACAACAAAAACTGGATGGATGATTAAATTACACTGTCTATTTTTTATTTAATTCACTGTAACACATAGTATTCCGATGTGGAAAACACTTTGATAAATTGTTGTATTTCCTGATATGCACCTATGCTTGTTTGAGAAGCTTCTGGGTCATCAATATTGCTTTGTTCGGTCTAATACTTTGCCATGTGATCACTAGATACCTATAGATGACAACAGCAGAAAAAAGTCATTTTGTGAAAATCACCCTTAGGTCCATTTCCGCAGATACTGGGCCATATGGTCCACTTCACTTGTTTTTCTCCTCGAACCTGATGATTGCTCCTGGCCGAAAAATTTAATTTAATCGAGATACTAGTATTTTGCAGCGAAGAGACCACTTGATTTGAGGATGGTGTGTGTACGTTTTTCATGAAGTGGCTGCAGTGAAGCTTGCCTACCTTTTAAAAGAAATAGTTGAGTTTTCGCAGTGGAACGAGAACTAAATATGGAGGTGACATTTCATTTGTAACGCTTTCCATGCAATTCAAGTGGCTAAGAATAACAACAGGCGGTAAAATACTATTTTAACAGCACTCTCAACAGTCATCTTTGTATCGTTTGATGTTTAAGAAAATTCACCAGACCTCCCTCTAAAGGGTTGCAAGGATGTATGGATATATAATTGAGTGCCTATGGTGCAGTCTTAGTTTCTCGAGGAAGGCCATTTTATTGTTTGGTATTCTAACACAGATATAGATGAATGTTCGGACAGAAGCCACGACTGCGGCGGACGAGAAGGGTATGAGAAGACCTGTTCCAACACTCAAGGGAGCTATGTATGCGTGTGTCCAGCGGGCCTCAAGACCAGTGTTGAGTCATCTGAGTGCGAAGACATTGATGAATGTCAATGGGATATACAAGTATGCGACTTGGAGAGCTCACGTTGCATCAACACTTGGGGTAGCTTTGAATGTCAGTGTCGAGAGGGATACCGCCGCACGGATACATTGTACATTTACGGATGCAGCCGTGACCCTTGTCAGCCTCTCTGGTACCAGGAGGATCTGTGTAACTATCATGGTAGGCGAACCGACAAATTCAGTGTACTTAAAGGCTAAATTAGGGTAGACCCTGGCTAGCGCCAGATGTTACTGAAGTAACGTCATGCATAGCTACGGAAATTAAAATTTGTTCAAGCTGTAGTTTGGAGATGGTTAAAATAGAATGTTGAAGTGTTGTCGTTTTTCTTTCCTTGTCATTCACAAACTCTGTGGTGTACATTTTCCTTGGAGACAAGAATGCAATTATACCTAGAAGTAGGTCACACTTCAGGCTCTTGAACATTTTGAGAGTTTCACAAGTGTACTTTCATGCCTTGCCAACAGGTGACATACAGGCAAAAATCAAATGAACTTGTACAATGGATGAAGTACAGCAGAGAGGTGATAGAAATTTAATTATAGTGTTTATCCAAAATTTCCATTGTTCCTCGTACTATCCTGAAGAGAAGGGAAGGAAACGTTTGGTAGATGAAAGGAAGTGTCTACTTGACCATGCGGCTTTGTGTCATTGCAAGAGAACTTACAGATTGCGAAACCAAAAAGTTTATCCACTAAGCAACATGTAAAAAGTTGTGGAAACTGTTTCTATGTACTCTTTTAGCTGGGTGATACGCGTTTTAACTTTTAAGTCTATGATCCGAACACAGGCGGCAGTGTGTGTTTTAAAACAATGTTGCGTCGCTGTGGCCAAATTAGTGGCCAAATTAGTCGATTTACATGTATGTGAAACTGGGCTGGTTGCAACAGGACACTGACTTCTGTTTACACCTCCCTACTACCGGTTTAGACTCTTTCTCGGTGCAGGTGTTCGAAAAACTTGAAAGAAAATCACTGTGCATTGGCGACTGCTGTTCAGTCCAGCACTCGTTTTCATCACAATTCGAATCGAAGGCGGTGTTAACCCCAAGTAATTCCTCAGAAGTTTGGCAGCATTGTCTCTACTTTATTGGTTGCCATAGCGACGAAAACGCCCTTGGCTGTCATCATGCGATCGTGAACAAATGAATAGTGTTCTTTGATGGATGCAAGGAAAAAATGGACAGTCCGGATACATTATATTTATTGAATATACATTTGAAGTAATTATTCTCTTGAAATGTATTCAAAAATTGGAACATACTAGTAAGAGCAAGATGGCTATGTGCACCAATACATGTATCTATATTATCTGGGAAGTCTGGGAGCACGCACTGTCCATGACGTGGAAGTATCCGAAACTCTGAATCACATACGTCTGGCCGGGGAAGTGCCAGAGACCTGGCGCATGACGCAAATACGAGTACACGTATTTCAACAAAATTGGCAAAAAAATTCACGGCTCGCGTGAGACTCGGTTTCTCTATATAGAGGCCGAGTTTTCCACATCCGTAGGAACGCCACCACCCTTCAAGGATCAAGGCGCAGATGCAGCTCCTAAAGTGGTTGAAATTGGCAAAGGATTAGTAATATTTCCACTAAAACTCGCCCGGAGGTTGCCTGGAAGACCGACGCGTCCGTAACTTCGGTATCCAGAACAAAAGAGGTGTGGGTTAATATGTCTCTTTCTGTGCAGATCCTGATGAGTACATAGCCATCACATCTTCACCACCACTATCAGCTGGTCAAAAGCAGGGGAGCACAGAAACTTTGACAACTGGAATACTTGTAGTAATCGGCCTCACAGGAGCAATCGTGGTTATCACTGCCTGCGCGGTAGTCGTCTATTTGTTCTGGACAAGGTATGGTATTGTGTGCCAGTTCATTGATCATCATTATATTTAGAGAATAATAATTGCCCGCTCCAAGCATCCTGTACTGATCAGATGTGATACTGTTTTGTTCTTCCTTAGTCTTGGAGCTCTTCACGAGTACATCTAGTTGGATGATGGCTGTGCATGTACATGCAGGCTCATTCTAGACAGAGTAATGGAGACGAGATTTGACTCCAAATAAGACTAATACTCTAACACACCGGTGTGCTGGCCCCAAACACGCCCCGGATCAATGCTGCCATATTTCGCAAGTTGGCAAACAGGCTGAGCCGCTCTGAACCAAATGCACCTAAAACAGACAGCCTGGAAGGGAAATGCTCACTGTTCCTGATTCCTCACACCCATGTTTGTCTCCCTAGATTATCCGTCTCCTTACTGTGCATGTGATACTGGTCCTGTGCAGGGTGAAGTGCATCTCAAGTGAGTTTCACTCACACAAACTCTGTAGCTTTGAATTTTGCAGTGAAGCACAGTGCAGCTTTGTGAAGCTAATGGCCATACACTTCAAGCCATCCGCAAAACAATTTTGTCAAGTGGTTGAATTAAGCAGTAGGCATGTAGTGCGTTTGTGTCAAGAAATGAGCTGCTTTTAAATTTAAATAAGATTTGCCTCTTTCTAAGGTGTTGTGACTTCGGACTCAAACTCCTACTGAGCAAATCTACAAGAAAGCTCCATTCGGAGGTTGTCGGAGTGGAAAGATTATGTGCCTCTTATGTGCTTCAGGCGGCAGTCAAGACAATAAACAAGTGTCAGTCAGTCGGTTGAGAAACCGCTAGTTTCACCAACCGGAGCAGCCAGTTTCCTTATCTACTTCTCTTTCACAATTTTTTCCCTATCTCTGCAGAGTGTGGAAGCGGAAGCAGCTCATGCAGACGATGGTCAACCAATCGGCAGTATCGGGTCAGTGGCCTACAGAGCAGCCTCCTGCATATCAACCGCTAGCCGAGGTGAGTTGCGGCATGCGTAATGTACACACCATGCCTGCAACAGGTAGCCTATGAGGCGGGCAATGGCCTGAAATGCATTTTACATGTACAGTGGAAAAGCCTCTTATACCAGCAAAGCAAATACCGGTATATGCTTAGATTCAATCCTGTGTTGCCATAACGGGAACTGAAATCCAACCCATCTAAGGCTGTGTTTACATGAGGCGTTTCAACCCGGGTCAGATTTCAACCCGCCATGCACACAAAATGAATGGCGCATTTACATGACGCATTGCGCTTGACCCGGGTTGAAATTTCGCCCCGGGTTGATTTCAACCCTCCCCTTGGGGAGAGGGTTGAAATCAACCCGGGTCAAAGATATCGTACTACGTATTTCTGTGCGTATCTCGCGCCAGGTTTGAACAGCACTGCACATGCAAATTTCGCGCGAAAGGATTCACTTGACCATGCCGGACTCCAGAAGTGGAATTTTTGCGGCATATCAGTATTTGACCCGGGTCAACTGTCTTCATGTAAACGCTCACCTATTTTGTCTATCGTACAGACTTTCAACCCGGGCTGAACTTGACCCGGGTTGACATTTCTCATATAAACACAACCTTAAAGATGGCAAGATAGAAAGATGGCAATAATACATATTATTATACAGTGCTGCTCATTGAAATCTAGTCATGTCACTCAAGTGTATGTCTTGCATCATTTAGCAGCCCAGTGTTCGCAGGTCAATGGCTGCGCAACGCCCGGTGTGTACTTGAGTGACGTGACTGGATTTCATTTGAGCAGTACTGCAGTATGGACCCTGTTCGACGTGTTGGTGTTTTGTCATTCGTTCACAGCATTGTGGCAGCCAGTACACAATGTACATGCAATACATATTATTATGTTTTCAATATTTGCATGTCTTCTATCATTGTGTGCACCCAGTGTGCATACATTTACCATTACATCACCGTCTGGATGCATTACGTCATCAAGTATGCACAGTTTGCATGCATTACGTAATTTCGCACCGGATCTCTGGCAATATCACATGTATATGCGCATGTGCATGTGAAAAAGGACCATCGGAGTCGGTCATACTATGTGTTGAAAATGTGCATGCCTTACATCACTGTGTGCAAACAGTTTGCATGTTGTTGTTGTATACTTTATTTATAGTGGAAACAAAACATGCATTTACCATTTTCACCACCGTCTGGATGCATTACGTCATCAAGTATGCACAGGGTGCATGCATTACGTAATTTCTCACCGGATCTCTGGCAATATTAGATGTATACGCGCATATGCATTTTTTTACTGTACAGCCGTCCACATTCTACTCCAATGACATCCCTGCATACGATCCGCCTCACCACACCACATCATTCAATGGCCAATTGCTTGAAGATATTATTCCTCAGACGGCCGAGGACGCCCCGAACTTTCAGGAGACATAACGGCCGCAAATCTGGTAAGCTATTTGCTAGGGCTTGGGCAACTCTATCTCTAAGTTTCCAAGCAAAAAGCCTGAAATGCCTTCTTTTCTATTGAGGTAGCATATGCCTCAGCAACCAATCAGCCTACAAGCCACATTACATATGTTAGGGGTTCAGAGCTAGTGAGACTTTTTGGAAAGTTTAATTTATTTCAAAATTTTGAAGGACGCTTCACGCAGCTTCATTATACTTGAATTGTTTGCAGGCAACCTGCCTACACTCAAGAGAGCACTGCATTTCACACAAATCCATTGGTATCGTTACAACGTTTCGGTCTTTATGACCATCATCAGGAATGAAGTGGACATGGAAAGAACAGCAGTATAAAAGAAGGAGGCAAGCAAGCAAAGCACGGTACATAGTGACAGCGCGCGTAGAGAAGTGCAAAGCGCGTCATGGCGGGTGTGCATTACTACATATACATGACAACACAAGCACAAACGGTGAGGAAAGTAGATACTGCGCTACAGCAGTGATAACAGCCCAGTTCCAGTCTCACACCACCAGTGAGGTGTCTAGAGCCCCGCGCCACTCGCAGTAAGGTGGTGTTATAGCAGATCCCAGCCACTGTTATTGTTAATTTCCGGGGATCGCTCCCTGATATTGATGGCCTCCCGGATCCTCCTCCTGGGGCGGTCACGCTCAGAACCGAGAACCCGGATACCTGAGAAAGCCGTTGCTCCCAATGGCAATGGGTCAGATGCATGCTTGGCCGCGAAATGCTCACCCAGCGCGGTGCCGCTCACTGTGTTGCGTGCGTCGTCGTTGTGTTCTTTTGTCCTGGTAGCGAGGCTGCGGTACGTCTCTCCGACATATTTATCACCACACCTGCACTCGAGGTGGTATACAACATTTCGCTCCGTGCATGCCCCTGAACCGGACATGCAGGCGACACAAGCAGCTTTGGGCCGCCCCCGTTTACGGGGCCTGGACGGGTCTACATACCTGCGGCATGGTGGTTTGCGGAGGGCAGACGTGCAAATCATAGAACTTAGTCGGCGGTTCCTGTAAATCAGCTGGGCATTTATCTTGTACTTCCGGAGTAATTTATGAATTTTGTTGTGGATATACTCGGTGTGAAACGGTAGGTTGAGGGTGACACGGTATTCATTCTGCACTCTGACACGTCGGGGGCGCATAGCTCGTTCACGTGCCGAAACTATAACTGACTCTGGGAAGTTGTTGAATTTTAGGATGTTGGTTACTTTTTCTTCACTTCTTTTTAGGGTGTCGGCATCGGAGGATAGGCGGACGGCACGCAGGAACTCAGAGGAAGCAATTGCTTTCTTTTGCTGGTTGGGAACTGACGAGTTGTAGTCTGATACCAGTCCGCTGTGACATGGCTTGCGGTATAGTTCATAGGATATAGATCCATCTGGTGAGACATGGACGGTCGTGTCCATGAAATTGATTGAGCCAGTCAACTCCGTGGATTGGTGAGTGAATTTAATATTAGGATCGGCATTATTGAAGTGATCTAGGAAACTCTGCAGAAGTTCCGGACCGAGGTTCCACACAATGAAAACATCATCGATGTAGCGCTTGTACAGAACTGGGCTGGCAGGTGCACTACGCAAGAGCGAACTCTCTAGGTCATGCATGTACAGGATGGCAAAGGGGGGCGCTAGGTTATTGCCCATAGCCACACCATCCTTCTGGTGGTACACCTGCGCTCCAAACCGGAAGTAGTTGGAGCTCAGCACATGTGCGAGGAGCTCCTTGACCTGCCCAATTCGGAAACCGAACAGATCGATGCTGCCCTCGTGTTGTCGGAGGACTCTCATGACTGCTGCAATGCCATCGTTAATCGGGATGCTAGGGTAAAGGGCCACCACATCCATAGTCACAATGATGGTGCCGGGCGGGGCCTTGAGGTTGGGAAACGCGCTCCTCATACACTGGAGTGCTTCAACAGTGTTCTCCAGGTGTGCTGGCACGAACTGGAGACATTGATTGAGGATGCGTTCGAGGACTATGGAGATGTTTGTAACTGGGCTGCCGCAGGCCGCAACGACTGGTCTGAGAGGAATATTGGACTTGTGGTCTTTTGGAAGACCGTACATTTCAGGGAAGCTGTTGTCACCCGGCATCACGGCTGTGTATAAATCCTTTTCCAAGGATCCCTCGCAAACTCGGCGGAGTATCTTTCGGGTCTCCTCCTCCCACTGGTCGATAGTAAGCTCAACTTTCTCAAACCGGGACTCGTCCGACAACAGGGATTCTGCCTTCTCCAGGTAAGTGGTCATTTTCATTGCTACAAATTTGTTGCTTTTATCAGATTTTTTTATGATGACCGACTCGTCCTTGCCGACCTTCATGAGCTGCTCACGATCAGAGTGAGACAGGTTCGGCTGCGGCACTCGCGAGTTTTTGTACAGGGCCATTGCTTCGCGCTTGAAGCTCGCCAGGCTGTACTCTTCGTCCTTGGACAGTTTAGGGCCCTGCTGGAAACCATGTGCCTTCAGGTGCCAGATCTTGGGTTCAAATTTGGCGGGACCTCCGTCAGCCATAGATGGCTGCTGTTCCGAGGACTGCCTCCACCAGCGAAGAGAGTACGCCATTCTTTCGACGCCCACCTCGACGTCTTGCATAACTCTCTGGTTGGCTTTGCCAGCCGACGGAACAAAGCCCGGCCCGAGTCTAAGGAGGTCCAGCGCCTCACTCGACACACAGTTGTCTAAGTCAAGAGCACATCCAGAGCGGTCTTGCGTCGTGACATTGTTGCGGTGACCACCTGCAGGCAGCTGGCAATGGGGGAAGCCCACGAACGACTGCTGCTGGCATAGACGCTCTAGCTTAAGGGTGAGCCGTCGTCGGGAGGCAAGTCGTTCCGCATGACACACAGCATTGCACAAGGCACGTAGCCAAATATAGTCTTGCTTGGAGTACGAGCGCAGGTCGGCCCTCCGCGCCGTGAATAGTCCATAGCAGTGGGACTTCCACCGAAATTTGTCCTCGATGGCATCCCTCAGAAGGTTGCGAACATAGGCATCGCGACGGGTAGCTCTGGAAGGACGGGAACCTATAGGCTGGGGCACGCTGCGCTGAATAAAATATGGGACTAAATGTTTCCGCCGACATTGAAGCAGAAAATGCACCTGACAAAGACTCCGCTCTAGTTTCCATGCCCACTTCACGAACAACCAGGGCGTCTGAGTCCTTGAGGGGGAGAACCGTTTCAAAATTTTGAACGACGCTTCACGCAGCTTCATTATACTTGAATTGTTTGCAGGCAACCTGCCTACACTCAAGAGAGCACTGCATTTCACACAAATCCATTGGTATCGTTACAACGTTTCGGTCTTTATGACCATCATCAGGAATGAAGTGGACATGGAAAGAACAGCAGTATAAAAGAAGGAGGCAAGCAAGCAAAGCGCGGTACATAGTGACAGCGCGCGTAGAGAAGTGCAAAGCGCGTCATGGCGGGTGTGCATTACTACATATACATGACAACACAAGCACAAACGGTGAGGAAAGTAGATACTGCGCTACAGCAGTGATAACAGCCCAGTTCCAGTCTCACACCACCAGTGAGGTGTCTAGAGCCCCGCGCCACTCGCAGTAAGGTGGTGTTATAGCAGATCCCAGCCACTGTTATTGTTAATTTCCGGGGATCGCTCCCTGATATTGATGGCCTCCCGGATCCTCCTCCTGGGGCGGTCACGCTCAGAACCGAGAACCCGGATACCTGAGAAAGCCGTTGCTCCCAATGGCAATGGGTCAGATGCATGCTTGGCCGCGAAATGCTCACCCAGCGCGGTGCCGCTCACTGTGTTGCGTGCGTCGTCGTTGTGTTCTTTTGTCCTGGTAGCGAGGCTGCGGTACGTCTCTCCGACATATTTATCACCACACCTGCACTCGAGGTGGTATACAACATTTCGCTCCGTGCATGCCCCTGAACCGGACATGCAGGCGACACAAGCAGCTTTGGGCCGCCCCCGTTTACGGGGCCTGGACGGGTCTACATACCTGCGGCATGGTGGTTTGCGGAGGGCAGACGTGCAAATCATAGAACTTAGTCGGCGGTTCCTGTAAATCAGCTGGGCATTTATCTTGTACTTCCGGAGTAATTTATGAATTTTGTTGTGGATATACTCGGTGTGAAACGGTAGGTTGAGGGTGACACGGTATTCATTCTGCACTCTGACACGTCGGGGGCGCATAGCTCGTTCACGTGCCGAAACTATAACTGACTCTGGGAAGTTGTTGAATTTTAGGATGTTGGTTACTTTTTCTTCACTTCTTTTTAGGGTGTCGGCATCGGAGGATAGGCGGACGGCACGCAGGAACTCAGAGGAAGCAATTGCTTTCTTTTGCTGGTTGGGAACTGACGAGTTGTAGTCTGATACCAGTCCGCTGTGACATGGCTTGCGGTATAGTTCATAGGATATAGATCCATCTGGTGAGACATGGACGGTCGTGTCCATGAAATTGATTGAGCCAGTCAACTCCGTGGATTGGTGAGTGAATTTAATATTAGGATCGGCATTATTGAAGTGATCTAGGAAACTCTGCAGAAGTTCCGGACCGAGGTTCCACACAATGAAAACATCATCGATGTAGCGCTTGTACAGAACTGGGCTGGCAGGTGCACTACGCAAGAGCGAACTCTCTAGGTCATGCATGTACAGGATGGCAAAGGGGGGCGCTAGGTTATTGCCCATAGCCACACCATCCTTCTGGTGGTACACCTGCGCTCCAAACCGGAAGTAGTTGGAGCTCAGCACATGTGCGAGGAGCTCCTTGACCTGCCCAATTCGGAAACCGAACAGATCGATGCTGCCCTCGGGATCCTTGGAAAAGGATTTATACACAGCCGTGATGCCGGGTGACAACAGCTTCCCTGAAATGTACGGTCTTCCAAAAGACCACAAGTCCAATATTCCTCTCAGACCAGTCGTTGCGGCCTGCGGCAGCCCAGTTACAAACATCTCCATAGTCCTCGAACGCATCCTCAATCAATGTCTCCAGT